ACACACACACACACACACACACACACACACACACACACACACAGAAACTCTTCTGTGGTGAGGTCATCATATCCTGACGTCACCATCACCTCCTCCTTCATCTCCACCCTCACCATCATCGTCATCATCATCATCCTTTCCGTGCACGTGTCATCTTACCTGTGTCTGCTGGTCGCGCGGGCACTGTGCGCGTGCCCGCCAGTGTACAGGCTGTAGGAAGGTCGCAGCGGGAACGCGCTCTTGGCGTGTCCACAAGTCCAGAGCGCGAGCAGCAGCAGTAGGAGCGTGGCCATCCCGCCGATCAATACACGTTCAATAGGCTACACTATCAGGGTATCAATTCTCGATCAGAGTGATCAACATCTCAGCTGGCGGGAAAAGCTATCATCTCCATGGAAACAAAATAAGTTTCCACAAAGTCCGTCCGTCCTACTGACCCATGATCCGGATTCGGATCCAAACTCCCAGAAACCAGACCAGACACAGAGTTCAGTCTCCTTTCATCCGCTCCGGATCCCGCTCCGGGTCAGGGTCCTGCTGGTACCGCGGATTTAATCTGTTTTAATCCGGTTTGGGGCGGTCACAGTTTGTTCATCAGAACTTTTCATGTGAAACAAAGGGAAGAAAACGTTGCGACAGACTGAACCGAGACCAGCTGCTCCTCCTCTTCATCACCGCCCCCCCGAACTGTCCCCGCCCCTCCCGGAGGAGAAACCAGACACGTGCAGCTCCGCACCCACACCTGCAGTCAGGCGGACAGATCCCGTCCCCACAGTCCTGATACCCGGTCTGTACCGGGGGTGTTTATGCCCCATAAAAATAAAAAAGCAAGGAAAGTCTTCTTCTTCTTCTTCTTCTTCTTCTTCGGGTCATTTTAAGCTTCACCTGAAGTAAAGAATCAATTGCAAATTATTTGTCAATAAACCAACAGTTTGCTCCATAATATGATATAATAATTTATAATATCATTTTTAATAAAGTTGATTCCAACAATTTCATGTGATTCTGTCTGAATCACAAACATCAGCAGTTTGTATCAAAGTGAACGATTAAGTTTAACATTTCACAACAAATTTGGTTTTTCTGTCACTGAAATAACAAACTGGAACTGGAACTGGAACTGGAACAGGCTGTAACTGAACCACTGTAACTGGAACAGATTGGAACTGTAACAGACTGTAACTGGGACCAACTGGAACTGGAACTGGAACTGGAACACTGTAACTGAACCACTGTAACAGACTGGAACTGGAACTGGAACTGGAACCGGAACCGGAACCGGAACCGGAACTGGAACTGGAATAGACTGTAACTGGAACAGATTGTAACTGGAACAGATTGGAACTGTAACAGACTGTAACTGGAACAGACTGGAACTGGAACTGGAACCGGAACCGGAACCGGAACCGGAACCGGAACCGGAACCGGAACCGGAACCGGAACCGGAACCGGAACCGGAACCGGAACCGGAACCGGAACCGGAACCGGAACCGGAACCGGAACCGGAACCGGAACCGGAACTGGAACTGGTATAGACTGTAACTGGAACAGATTGGAACTGTAACAGACTGTAACTGGGACCAACTGGAGCTGGAACTGGAACTGGAACAGATTGTAACTGGAACCGACTGGAACTGTAACTGTAACTGGAACACTGTAACTGAACCACTGTAACAGACTGGAACTGGAACTGGAACTGGAACCGGAACTGGAACTGGAACTGGAACAGACTGGAACTGTAACAGACTGGAACTGGACAACAATAATGTGAACCTGTCCTTTCATATAAAGACATAAACTTGGATGTTACTTTAAAACCTTTCAGTATCTGTTTGATGACACAGAGGTGAAAACATCCTGCAGATTTCCTGAGGTTAAAGGATGTTTCATATCTGCTGTTCCTAAAATAACCCAGTCAAGATTACCTCTGACACACACACACACACACACACACACACACACACACACACACACACACACACACACACACACAAGGAGTAGATAACAGTAGTAGCTGCAGCCTTTCTGATAACAACAGTCTCTGTAAACTTCTTGTTCTGTAGGTGTGTTTGATTTGTGTGACTGCACATGTATTAAATCACTGATTCATTAAAGTTGATGTAACTTTGCTTTTTACCTGTAATATTAACTTTCACCTTACAATGTGACTATCCTCAACATCATCAGTAAGCTCGTCTGACCTGTTTGAGACTCTCATTTTGAAAGTGAATCCATGTGGTGGAGTAAACGGAAGATACACATATAACATACACCGTGTGTGTTATATGTGTATCTTCTGTTTACTTCAGAGCTCAGTTTAACATGGGAGCTTTGAACAGCCCTCTCTGCACTGTGGGGGGGGGGGTTTCCTCAAAAACCGTCAGTGATGTCACAGTGAGACCAACACTGGGTGATAGAGGACAAATGTCTCTACGTTTTTATATAGAAATTAAATATGAAGGTTGGAAATTGTTGGATTTAAAAGAGGTTGTCAGATTTTTTTTTAGAAAATTGTGAGAACCCATGTGAAACCCATTATAGAAATCCAGATATTACCCCAAAAAGTCTCAGGTCTTGTGACCTGTTTAAAGTTTCAAACATGTTTCTATGTTCAACTATGATGAAGCAGTGTGGCTCCTAAGAGGAGTTAGTTTGGTCTCTCCGTTCATTTTGTGGCATTTTTCATATTACGTCGCCATGGTTTCTCAAATTGCTAAGAAAAGTCATATTTAACCATTCCTGATCAAACCACATGTCTTGATATATAATTTGTTTGAGTTTTCTCAAAGCTGTGAGACAAGTTACATGCTGAAATTTTATGGAAGAGGAATAAGAAGTAGAAGTATGTCGGATTATATTATATACGCCTGCTGTACTTACAGTATTTACAGTACAGCAGGCATATAATAATCCACAAAGGTTAAAAACATGGACAGAGCAGCACACAATCAACGCCTGAACAAACTCTGATACAAACTTGAATGTTTCTCTTCCTAATAAGAACAACAGAGTGAGGCAGTAAACAGGACTCTGCAGTGGAAATACTCTTTATCAGATCTCATAAATCATGTAGTGACCCCCCCACCCCAGGTCCCACCCTCCTTGGGTGGAGACACAGACCACCCAGAGTACATCACTCACCCTAACCACTGTTTTCAGTTTTATGGGGCTGTTTTTAAATGGAGCTTTTGTATTAAAGACAGAGTCACATTCCAGAGTTAAAGCCTCAGGTGAGAGACACAGAAACTCTCTCTCAGAGATCTGCATCAACGTTTTGTCATCAGCTACAGTCACTCTCACCTCGACAAAACTTCACATGTCCACTGAAAACCACCAAACACTCCACACACTAAAAGCAGCCACATGTTAAACTATAATAATCCAGTGGCTGTGATTTTTTAGACTTTATTTCCTTCATAAATTCATTGTGATTGTCATTCTCCTGGTCCGTCTGTCTGGATCTGGTGATCCTCCTCAAGTTTCCTATGTTAAATGGTTATTGAGATTAAATTTTGTTTAATTGCAATCAAACAAATTTCAAATCAATAACATATCAGTATCAATAACAATGACAGCTTTATGTGCAGGTGAAAGAAAAAGATTTTTGTGATTTACAGTAGATAAAACTGACTGGATTCAACTCTTAAAGCTCCATTAAACCCTTTACTGAAACCTGGAGATACATGGGTTTAACCAGACAGCTGAGTGTCTGTCAGTCATTAGAGCATGTGAAGTAAAGTGAAGAGACGACTGCAACGGTGACATATGAGTCCGTGTAATGGAGCTTTGATATGAAGTAAAGACAGAGACTTTTCTTTTTGTGTTTGTGTTTGTAGCTGTAACACTAACACTGTGTGTGTATGTGTGCGTGTGTGTGCGTGTGTGTGCGTGTGTGTGCGTGTGTGTGCGTGTGTGTGTGTGTGCGTGTGTGCGTGCGTGCGTGCGTGCGTGCGTGCGTGTTAGAATTAAATTGACTTTATTAAACTGCAACAACCACAGATACTTCCTGTTGACAGTGAAGCCACAACACAGCCACAACACGGCCGGAATACAGCCAGAATACAGCCGGAATACAGCCAGAATACAGCCGGAATACAGCCGGAATACAGCCGGAATACAGCCAAAACACAGAATAGGGCTTGAATACAGCCGGAACAGCTGGTACACAGCTGGATCCTGTGGACCTTCAGTGAGAGTGAGACACTTAAATGTCACTGCGGTTCAACAGATCAGAGCAGAGAGGTGTGTTTTTGTTGATACACTGCAGATGTGAACAGGGATGGAAGAATCTGACAAATAACGGAGTGGAAGTGTGAAGTGTGAAGTGTGTGCGTGTGCGTGTGCATGTGCGTGTGCGCGTGTGTGTGTGTGTGTGTTCTGTTCAGGTGGCTGCTGTGTGCTGGGAACCTGGACCACAAAGTGAGTTCAAATGAGTCTGGCTCTCTTGGGGTCCTGCTTCACTGAGTCTCACACTGGTTCCGGATCAGCTGACTCTTAACTTTGCTTTAATAATCCAGCAGCAGGTTTTTGAGACAGAGGACAGAGAGAAAGATAAATATTATATTAGATGGTAAAACCTGCAGGTAAATTCTGTTATAGTGATAGCAAAGGGTTTTAATCAACAAGGTAAAATGCAAAGAGTATAATCACATAACTGCAACAGAACAACAAACTGTAGAAACCTTCCATGTATTATAGTAAGACTGAGGATATAAATAAGATTCTTTAGTATTTTTTAATTTGATGAACAAACTGTTAGTCAACCCTTTTGATCACATTCATAACTCTGGTCTCCTTTAAAAGGAAACTCTACATTTTACAACCAAACAGTCAGAAGGAGTGAAAGAGACACTGAACCAAAATTAGAGGCACAGACATGGTGGAAATGTTGGGTTTTTCTGCAGTAGGCTTTAGTGTGGAAAACACATGGACATGCTTTGAGAAGGTTGTGTGAATGCAACACACGTGAAGTAGCTTAAAGGTCAAAATGTCACACAGGATCAAGGCTTCATTTATGACACGTGGAAACTCTGGAGTAGTAAAGTGATTAGACTGATCTATAAAATGATCTATTGATCTTTATTCTTTATCACTTTATTGTAAACTCTTTGTCTTGAAAGTATCCTTACTTCGCTTTTTCCAGTGATCTGATTGATAAGTAGCTGGGCTGGTGAACCTGATGTCACCACCTACTACAAGAAAATCCATACTTACAACCAGACCACACAACAACTAGCGCAAGACAAAAAACCACAACAAGACCAGCAACACACCAGAACAGGCTGTGTATGGAGTCTGTGTTTGTCTTCACATGGTGAGGTCATTGTTAACATTCCTGACAGCTTTATCTTGTTTCATTCACTTCAGTGTTGACAAAGATGGAAACTGTGACTGCTGTGTTGTTCATGGAACCCTCTGCTGTGATACCTGTCAGTCCACACTGAGGGAACACCAGCTAAATATCACTTCCTGCTGTAGTGCCTCTGGGCAACACACTCAACACTATGTAGCTGGGCAGAGACCTGCTGACCCTGATGGCTCCAGTCTCCATGACAACGCTTCAACAGCAGCAACTGAGATCCTGAAAATCTTCAC